CCGATGTTGACTGGTGGACTTATAGTATGTAATCCTAACTCGTATGTTCACTGAAACAAGCATTTGTAAATTTATTCATAGAGTAGAAGTTATAGATTTCGTACAGTGTTCAATCAGGCCGTTCGGCCCATCGTGTCCAAACCGCCTTTTTCCCACCAAGAGATAATCCCATCCGTGTAACCTTGCGTCTCTCAAGGTTAGCCCACTGAACTCCTCAAACCTGGCCACCCGGGGGCAATAGAGCATGACCAACCCACCGCAGCTGTACATCTTTCGACTGTCAGAGGAAACCGGCACACCTGAAGAAACTCACACAGACAAGAGCTGAATATCTAAACTCCTCACATATTCGATCGTTTTTTTGTCTTTTAGAGCAATTTATCTGTATGCGTGTAATATTGGTCAACCATCCCGCATTTCCAAAATAACTTTCATGAAACGTTGTATTGCGGTCTGTTTATGAAGTTTATTTGATCGGAGTGTATTGTTAATTCATCCACAGTGGATGCAAAATGAGCGTAGATCTCAAAGGATTGACACTGATATTTAACATAAGCCCGAAACTTAGAGCACCCTTCGGGATGTTCGTTCAACACTGGCATTTGTTCTGTTTGCAGGAAGAATCCTGGACAATCAATTGCAGCTCCTACCAAAGAGACTCCGATACATTGCGAGTGGACAATCTCCACTGGCTGTGGTCTCTTCAGGATTTTGTCTCCATTTCGGGCTTCAGGATTACAAATGCCGTCCATTACACAGTCTTGTGTCTCTGCAGAAAGTTGCAAAAATCACATTTTGTGTATCTGCACGGAAGTCAATCAAAGCCAAATCCATCAACAAATTTAGTTTGATTAGTCACTGTGTAGAATTTAACTTTTTCCATTGTGTACTGGGAAAACAAATCCTGAATCTTCCACCCCAGAACCTGGTCGTGGCCAAACCCAGAACTTATCTACAGAGGACCACTGCTTTAATCAGTGAAGGAAATAAATTAGGTGCCCTGACTGTGAGAGACTCCAGAATCAGAGACAGTGTCAGTTATTTCTGCGTCGTGAGGGCACAGTGTTGCAAACATACGTCGATCTTGCACAGAAACGTGCAAAGAGTGGAAGCCCGCTATGCTGTACTTCAAGCAACAGCGAAGCCTATATCAGAGTTCCATAATATGATGTTGCTGGGTAATTGGCGTAAAATAAAATGACAATTTACATTAGAGAAAATATTAATGAGGGTCAGTCGTGAAGAGACTGGAAATATGCATAGATAAAAAGGAAAAGAAATTTACTGGCTAGTTGTTAGCGCGGAAAAATGAGGATATGAAGACGTACAGTAATTATAGGTGCAGAGGACAGTATGTTAAGAAAACGTGGAAGGAAGAGTGAAAGACAGTGAAGCATATCGAACGTGATTCAGAATTTAAGATCAGTTTGAATCACAACTGAATAAATCTTGCAAAAAGCAAAGTGGCCTTTCGTTTCTTTTCGAATTACAAAATTGAATTGTCTCTAATAGCTGATAATTCGATATTGCTCCATCTCCATAATTTTTAATTAAAAATGGCAGAATAAAATTTAGTTCGTGAAAGGAATACGACTGTAGTGATGATAGGAAGCAACATAATTAGGCGGATATATAATGCTATCAGCAATCATAAGCTGGAGTACTGAAAGTTGGGCTACCTGTCAGATGGCAGGGATAAAGAGATCTCCTCCGGATTAGGGGAGATCTTGGAGTGGGAGGGATGGGATCCAGTCCATGTTGATACCAAAGACATTGATACTATCAGATGCAGCACCTCTAGTATAAACGCAGAAGTTACATCTAATATGTTACAATGAGTCCGGTTACTATGAATCTTGCCTGTAGATGCAGCAAAAATAATAACTCCCTTTACGCTTAAAATCATTAAAATGTGATTGTGTTTTTCATCATTGATCTATCCAAATTCCTCAGGTGCAATGACCCACTGTATCAGCTGCAAGGAGCTCTGATAGTCTGATAGACTGGGGAACTCGAACAACATGAACTCCTTTCCTTCTCTGGATTTGAATACGCATAAAGAAAAGCTGCTCAGCATCAACATTCAGTTTAATTTTTCTCCAATATCCTGTTGTCGGATGAACAAATTCATTTTGTTATTCCGCTCCACCCCATTCCCGTGAAGCAGAGCTCAAAGGAACTTGAATGTCATTGGTTGAATTGAAGAATAAAGGAGCTCAAAGCACATTGTGTGTCCCCTGATGCCTACGCCAACCGGGAACCAGTAAACAGAGGCTCTGAAGTTATTCAAAGTTTTTCCAACTCTTGAAAAAACAATTTCAACTTCGACCTGAAACGTCAGCTTTCCTGCTCCTCTGATGCTGCTTGGCCTGCTGTGTTCATCCAGCTGTACACCTTGTTATCTTCAGCTTCGGTCATTTCTGCTGAAATTCACCAAAATTGTCCTGCAAACATGTCGCCGAAAGCTCTGCTTGTAATTCTGAAGCTCTTCTACCGGTAGGTTAACAAATAGTGTGTTTTTGTACTTCAGTTATTTGTCAGGATTTACATATACTCGAGCAGTTCAATGAACATCGAGGCAGCCATAAATTCAACACCAATAAAGATTTTTTATATGATCTAAACTTGCCCCAGAGTGAAGCGCAGTTTGGTGAAACAAAGCGAACTTCCCCGAGTGGGTGACAGTGGAAGAGATAGACTGGAAATACAGACAGGGCTGAGACCATTGAGATGACACGGCAGAGGAAGGATTTGTAAATCCACTGGTCGTTTTTAGTTTTCCTTTCAAATCGCGGCAGTAAAATGGGTAATAACCCTGTTAGAAGATGTGCTCTGTCTATTAAAGGCTTATTGTTTAATATGTCGAAGCCTTTCCACTTCATCAACTGAGTTGTGTGTATTGGATTACGAATTAAATTTCCTGCTTTATTTTCCGGTCATTGCTCAAGGTGAGAAGTCGAAATTGCGTGATATGAATAATGACGCGTTATTCCTTAATTTACTCTTAATCTTGGGTCTTTTAGAGGACTTGTTGAGGAGATTCCGTCTCACAGACACCGGCTTCAATCGAAATCAACGAAAGGGATGATGTCCAGTTGTTCTGCAATTACACAGCTACGAAAAGCTGCCATCCTAGCCTATTCTGTCACCGTTAACAGTGCTGTGGTTCCACGGAGTTTGTGCTAAAGAGAAAGGAAAATATTGACAACACAAAGTGGGATTTCTGAGGAGACCATTTTTTGTCAGCGTGATAGGTTCGGTGGTCCAGGATAATGCAGGCTTACTTTAAAATATCAAACAGGAAGTGAGATGTAACTCAAATGTGAAGAACACTAACCAAATGAGCAGATTCACTGACAGCTGATGGAAGAGTCAACACGATCAGTGTAGTCTCAGTCACATGTGTTTCCCGCTTGCTGGCTTGTCTGGAAATTAGCTTTCTTTACCCGTCACGAAAGTTTATTGAGTCTTTGCCAGTGGTTTACATCTGGGTATATCAGTTATATAAAGACTGGCTCATTCACCTCCTCCTTCTGGTGACTTTTGAGAGAAACCAAGTCCTATTGTGATCTCAATTTGCCTTGCACAAGTTGAAGGTGTTTTACCTCTTGAGCCGCTGAGATCCTTGTGGATGTAGGGCCACACACAGTGCGTTTAAAAAGGGCATCCCAGGAATTTGACACAGCGGCACTGAAGAAACACATATTGTTCAAAGACAGCATGGTGCCTCACTTACAGCGAAAGTTACAGTTGATATTGTCATTCCGAAGCTCGGGATTTTACACCGGATTTGGTTTATTCCCAGATCAATATCTCCCACTGAATTCCATTCGTCTAACCATTGAGTCACTGTTATCTGTGACTCCGGCGAGGTTTCCCTTGTTGGTCAATGAGCTAACGAACTGACACTGAACTCCATTTCCCCAAAGTAATCCACAGATCCATCATCTTATAACAATGAATTCTGTTGTTACTGAACAAACGATTACAGAAAATCAACTCTCCCTGTAATGTTAAACTAATTTCAGGCACGTATCCTAACAGATTTTATATCGAAAATGTTGTTTCATTTCTCCCTGCTGGGCCCTATACTTATTTCCGCCTGACGTGAATACATTTAATCTTCAAATTTTGAATCTGCCACGAAGGAGAACAGATGATGTGTTATCTACACTTTTCGTTATTTATGATTTATTTGTTCACAGTTCCCTGGAACAGAGCGAAGGAAGGAGTGTCAAACATCCCAGGATGACTTGTGAAAAGTTGCCATTAGCAGTAGCTCAACACCTGCAGAGCACGAAGAACATTCTGTAAACCAACCTGGCGTTATGAACTAATTAAGACTCTTTAGAGCTGCAGCAACCCTTTCACCGTTTGAAAGTCATGGGGGATGAGGTTGTAAATGTCTACGCATACGAAGTAACATGGGGTGTCTCAGTTTCAACGATTTTTTAATGAAAAAATAATTGGAGTGCAATCAGTTTTCAAAGTTAGCATTTTTATTACGTAATATTTTTGTTGTAATATAGTGTCAAAGTCTTAATTTCATTGCCTGAGGTGCAGTGTGCACAGACACTGCAGAAACCGTGGAAACACTTCCGTGACTGTACTTCTTAAATCAGAGATTTCAAAGGAGAACTAGTTAATGACTTGAAAGCGGATAAGCTATGACTATGTCAGCGCTAACTTAAGGTAGAGCACGTGAACGTCACTATTGAACATTGCGAGTTCAGAGAACTGCTCCCTGCAGAAACTGATTCTTTCCATCGCTGACACCAGAAATATTAACGAATTAACATTCCAGAATGAATCCTTACATTTCAACATTCTGTCTGCGAAATAATGTTTTAATCCTGTCATCGAATTTCAGCATAAATTAATAGTTGATCGACTCCACCACAGATAATCAAGCAAAATGGATGGATTTGATGTATGTTCCCCACCATAAGGGTTAACGGTATGAGTCCGAAAGAACTGATCTCCACGGGCTGCACCATAACAGCTTTTCTCAGTAGCAGTATCGTCGCTTATGAGGTTTATCCGAAGCACGATTATTGCTTATTCGAAACTATCCCCAATAGCGCACTGTGCCAACTTGCAATCCAGTCAGTCAGGGCAATTTTTAATGGACTCTCCGGAGACTGTTGTGCATTCGCCCAAAAAAAAATCATGAAAGCAATTCAGACAATGCTACCACACTAAGTTTGCTTAAAGTAATGTCGTCGTTCTGGAAATGTGACGTAAATGAGGCAACCACTTAAAAAACTCCAGCAGATGTGGTAGCATTTGTAGAGAGGGAAACACCGTCAACTTTTTGGGGTCTGATATGAATCTTCTTCAAAATCTTTCCTTTGTGCGAAGTGCTCACAGTTTTCATCACAAATAGTGACAGAATGGTTAGTTAACAACAGCGTTACCCATGCTACTGAAATGCATGGATGAAAATTAAATTTGTAATATCTGATTACCTGATATTCGCTCACTGTTTTAACATGTTCCTGCCTTTCTCAGAATGACCGGAGTTGCTCCTTTTCATTGATTTGGGAATTTGTCCCGTTTGGACTTTTCCATCATCTATTCTTTCATTTTCGTTTCTGCTGTTAGCCTTTCCCTATTCGTCGCACAGTTACTGCACGACAAACATGCCCACAAGAAAACTGTTGGACTTCCTCAGAAAATGCGTTTCTTAGATTCTTACTTTTTGTCACCGCCTCCCTCGGTGTTTCCATGGAATTTTTGACAATGATGAACGGTGACTCCAGTCTCGAAGGAACATCACATCCAGTGTCCCCAAGTATGAGTGATGACCAATTCCCCCAACTGGGCTTTTTTCCCATTTTTCTGTCAGGCAAAGAAACCACACAAAGACAAACATTTTTGGCGAAACTCGAAAGGTCAGTCAGAATCACTGAAGGGAAACATCAGATTTTTTTTAAATTAGCACTTTTTCACTCTCTCTTTCTTATTAGACTACAACCATCAACTTTACAATTTAAAAAGGACTTTGTCAACTCTAGTGCTGCTCCCATTGACCTGTCCTGATGAAATAATTTGCTAAAACGCTTGTGCTTACTTTCGTTCTGTCATTTGCCATCCATGTCGAAAGCAGAATTGGTCCTTTACGTGTTTATCTGTTTATATGTTTCTATCTGTTCCTCATTCTCGCAGTGCGTCAAACTTACATTCTTTCACTCTCTTTGTTCCCATCTCTCCACCTCTCTCATTTGACATTTCTGCTCTTTGGAAAGTCTGAAACTCAGAGAAAGTTTGTGGTTGGCGCTGTTGAGATTTTTTTCTTAACCTGGCTGGTCTGTCTCGAACTGTGCTCGCATTCTAAAGATAGTATGCCCGTGGTGGGGACTGATGTGAGGATACGTTATTTGCCACAAAGGGCTATGAACGTTTAGAAGTGCAAATAGAATTTCTAATTCATCCCCAAACCAATTCCATCATAAGTAGGGGATTTATAATTACATCTTTACTGTTGGTGTGAAATTAAGAAATAGTCACAGCAGAGAAAGATAGATTTGAAACCAGGATCACCTGTCAACTAGACAGGCACCATGTAAGGCACATCGCCGCAAGGTGGACTATTTATGCCCATCAAGATACCCATTGCCTTCGCAATTCGAGAACAGTAACTCCGGGTTTTTCTGTTTCAATGTTGCTCAGTGAGAATTCTCATCACCTTCTGCCTCTGCATAAACAGACAATTCACAAATGAGCAGTAAACACTGAAAACTCGCGTAAAGAGACAATCGACTTTTGTATTGGTTTAAAAGGGATATTTTCACCTGTTAAACTAACTGGTTAAAAGTGATGTGTGAGCAAATGTAAACAGCGGGCAGTAAACTCTAACCCATTAACACCTACACTGAACCTTGGAACACAAGCTCCACACTCACTTCCTGCGTCGTGCACACTAATCATCATTGTCTTTCACTTTAGTTTTAATCCGTAAGTAGCTGCTCAAAACATAACTCCACACAATGTAGGCGTTAAGCATCGGCGGGGTCAGTAGCGCAATAGTTAACGTGTATGACCAGAAGAGTGGAGGTTTGACTCCTCCTTGCCTCACGTGCAATTCATAGATTTTCTACCTTACGAAGCTAAGTTTTATCAATGTCTGAAGCCGAAATGAGGTTCGAATTCCTGTTGACGAGGAAAAAAGAATGATTTAAATATTTCATACAGGCAGCTTGTTGTTGTATTTCGGTTCACCGTTCATTTTACGTCTCAGCTGTCAGCAGTCGTTCTCATTTTCTGGAATAGTATGTTACAGACCACCAAAAGCTGTCTTGTGTTAGAAAAAAAACATGTCGTTCGGGCTGGGGAGCTGATGAGAATAAATGGCAGATGTGGCTAACTGTAAGCATTGCTGTCAGTTTCCCTGTTGGTCTCGTGTGAAGTTTCATTGCTTTCTCGGCCAGGGAATGGCAGAATACGTGACCCTGTTGATCGTTAATCGTTATTTACATTTATTTCCGTTTTAAGTAAATACGGTCTAATGGTTAGAAGTAGAATTGCGTCATGAACTGTACGAATTATTCCAGTAGGTGTTCCAGTTCAACACCAGGAGATCAACTGTAATTTCTTGATGCATAATCAGTATAAACTAAAAACAGTCGAGGTATCAGGAAAAGTGAAGGACAATAGTGGTTTCTGAGAGGTGACTTCAGACCTACTGCAGCCGGTGTCAGTCTTGGTGCTGAAGACTGGTTTTTACTGTTTACTGTGGCACACAGATTACTATGAATACTTCAGATAAAATTACTCCCTCTCGTTTAATTTTGTTAGAGGGGAATGATATTTTTACTTGCTTGCAGGTTAGTTATGCAGTTTATATTGAGAGTATAAGACTTGGGAGCAAAAGTAACCCATTCAAACCACCGAACAAGATCCACAATTCAGTATGAGCATGGGTGATCGAATAATACTCAACTCCACTATCCTGTTTATTTTTTTTCCCTCATAGCCCTTCAGTTCCTAACTGATTTTAAATAAAAAAGTGTATATTGTATCCTTTTTTATAGTTAACGACAGAACATCTACAGACCACTGCAGTAAAGAACTCCACAGATTCACAACTCTCAAAAAGGAGAAATTCCTCCTCATCTCTCTCATATCTGTACGACCGTATACTGAGAGTCTGCCTTCTGGTCTAAGGCTATCACAGAAGAGAAGACAGCCTCTGGACATCAAAGATGTCAAGCCCCCTAAGGATTCTGTGTGTTTCAATGCGGAGCGGTGTTTATGTTGTAATGCGTCCAATATTCAGGAGCAACTGAATGCTCTGGAACAGAGGAACATGACTTTGACCTTTTACCTGTACTCGAACTGTCCCTTGAATTTGTATTCAAGCCTGCTGACAAGGTTGGTGCTGTTGTTTTCTGATCAACTGATCTCTACATTGCACACGTCGATTGCCAGCTCTCAGATACCTTCTCCTATTTCCTCCCAGACCATGATCCCACAATGCAACATCAGGCCACCGTCACCAAAAACATTTCATCTGATGACGTTCCCACCACTGCTTCCAATATCGGAGTGTCCCAACAAAGCAAGGATCGCTTCTACCTCCTTATCAATATCTGCAAACAGACTGCCCAGGCAGTCCCATCAATTCCACCTGCTCCTGCCCAACAGAACGTAACTCTCCTCCTTCGACTCGTCTTTTCTCTCCCCTTGTCCAGTCCCTTCCCAGTTACATTTGTAATTACTTCAACGTTTTATGCCAATTTCAGAATTTCCAGTTAGCGACGTCCAACCACCTCCTCTTTACCTTTGAATTGCAATCGCTTAAAATGTCAAATACCCATTATGTCAGTCTCAAGGCTCTCCATTTTCTTTTTGCCTAGTAAAGGGCCTGAACCGTCCACATCAGTCATCACCCTCCTCTGTCCAGAGGAGCAAAACTTTAATTCTGAACAACTTCTATTTAAACTTGCCTCACTTTCTGCAGGTAAAAGCTGTGGCCATGGGTACCCGCAAGGGGGTCATTTATGCCTCTCTGTTTGTAGGATACGTGGAAAATTTCTTCTTACAGTCTTATTCATCTGCCACCCACAGATCTTTCTCTGGTATCTCGATTATGTCATAGCTGCTGTTTCACTCTCTCGTCCATAATTGGAAAAGTTTGTCAATTTCCCTTCAAATTTCCCCACTCTCACTTTTTGATATCTTACTCCTAGTATCCTTTGCATCTATTCTGATAATGAGAACCTCGATAATAATGCCTAAAAACAATCCACCTTCTTCTTTAAACAAGTTTCCCTCGCACAGGGCATGCAGTTGGCTCCGAGTTATCTCCTACACTTCAGCTCCCAACCTCTCTGTCCTCTCCTACGAAAGTGAAATTGTTCCTCCTTGTCCTCATCAACCGTCCCACTAGCATCCACATCCAGAGCATAATCTGCTGTCATTTCCACCACATCCAGCATGATGGCACCACCAGAGAAATATGTTCTTCTCCACTCCTTTGTCAGCTTTCTGCAAGAACGGTTTCATCTGTAATACAAAGTTCCACTTCTCCTTCACTCCCATCGCTCACTGCAGTACCACTGCACTTCCCCATGCAACTGCAGAAGGTGTAACACCTGCCTGTTGACTTCCACATTTCTCAATATCCATGGGCCTAGACAGACCTTCCAGGCTGAAGCAGCAGTTTGCTTGTATTTCACTCAAAATAGTCTACTGCATTCGCTCTTTCCTACATTGGGGAGATGAAATGTAGACTGAGGGGCTGCTTCACGGCATATTTACGTTCTCTCCGCAGATTGAAACAGAGATTGCCATTGTCTGCCACGTCAACACACCACCTTGTTCGTCAGCCGACATCTCTGTCTCAGGCTTGCTGTAATGCACCTGTGATGCTCGGCGCAAATTGCGCGAACAACAGCTCATTTGCTTTTTGAGAACTGTACCACTTTGTGAAATCGATATCGACTTCAACAATTTTTGGGCTTCAGCTCCTTCCCCACGCTTTCACACAATTCCACACACCAGTCCTTGTTATAATGAATAAAAGAATCGTGCAACACGGAAACAAGTCCTTTGGTCCAACTCGTCCACGCTGTACATAGCCCCGAAGTAAACTCGTCCCATCTGCCTGCCCCAGCCCATAAATATCCTTATTCATTTG